ATATCGTTCGGTCATTGTTAATACTATTTCGTGTGTCAACTCTCCCCTGTCGTCGACATGCCCCAGTCTCCCCTGCCTCTCGTGGTGTTGGGGGCAAAAACAAAGGTGGTATTGTTAACTGTTGAGGGTTAGAAATGTCCGCCTGTATCATTTACTTTCGCTAAAGATGTCGCCATTATTTTGAAGACCAGGATCGTCAGAAGTACCATTGGAACCTTTAAAGCCGTTTATCTAGATGTTTCTGTTATCGGTACTTTTGGTTTTGTGATCTAATGACTGGTGGACAATTTTCTAAGTAGCAACAGATTACTTGAGGTATTTCCCGCATCGGGATAGAGAGGTGGCCTTACTAGAATTCACATTAATGTCTGTTTTTGATTCTGACACAAAAGAGAACGTGTATAGCACTCTCGATTGATCTCTCTATTTATACGTATTTTGACGTGCATGGATATATATCACATCAGATTTTTAATTCACACACACGCAAACCGAGAAATATATTGCATCATGGATAATGCAATATCGCTCAACATTAATTAGTCAGTGATAAATCCAGTCGGTTTCGTGGGATCTTCCAAGGTCTCGTAAAGTATTTTTTGCACGTACGAAAGACTTATGTTAAAGCATGGCATCGCGAAAGCAAGACCTGTATTATAGATGCGCTTAATCCAGATACATTGTTCGTGGGCTTTGTTGAGGTAAAGCATCATGACTTTGAATTTAAATCGAAACAAATTATGCCCTTGATGAGCACACGATCTCTTTCTCTTGGGTCTTGCGAAGGTTTATGCGTGCAGGTGGGTGGATGTACATACTTATATGAATAGAAATGTAGGTATATACACAGTAGGTATATATGCGTATGTATACACACACACACACACACACACACACACACACACACACACACACACACACACACACACACACACACACACACACACACACACACACACTCACACAGTCTCACACACACACACACACACACACACACACACATACACACATATATATATAGTCTTACGTAGATAAGATGGTGAAAGGCTATGAGAGTTCACCCTATACAAAACAATCCACTGCCTAGTGGTATCTTTCATTCTTTAATTAAGATAGAAATGCATCGTGAGTCAACCCGGAGGACAAATCCGGAGCCGGAGTCCATGAGGCAATTTGTTATTGCTTGCGACCTCGTTCAGGCAACTCCTGCGACGCCGTTGGTGCCAAACCGTATCGGTCTGTGCCGTTCCTTTGGGTCCATCCATTTGGAGGGAGGGAGCGAGCTGCATGGGTAACAGCATGCTCCTCGCATTCTTGCGTCCAGGCTTTGACTATACCTATACGGGAATGGATAGAGACAATAATGCCAAAGTCGATATCGACTGATGGTGGCCTTCGATATATAAATATGCATATACATATACATACATATATATATGTATATATATATATATATATATATATATATATATATATATATATATATATATATATATATATTTATATATTTATATTTATATATATATATATATATATATATATATATATATATATATATATATATATATATATATATATATATATGTTTTTGTTTGTACAAGTATGTACATATAGAGATTTATATATATATATATATATATATATATATATATATATACATATATATATATATATATATATATATATACATGCATATATAGATGGATATATATATATAGATAGATAGATATATATATAGCTAGATGGATATATATATATATATATATATATATATATATATATATATATATATATATATATATATATATGTGTGTGTGTGTGTGTGTGTGTGTGTGTGTGTGTGTGTGTGTGTGTGTATAATGAATATTAATATATTTATATATAGATATTTATATATTTATATATATATATATATATATTTATATATGCACAGACTCACATTGAGCATACGTATGGTACTACGTATCTTTTGCGTGTGTAATCCTATAAGTATGTATGCCAGTGCATGACTGTATGACCTGACCCTCAGGATGTCAGTTTGACCCCCAGCAGCGAGCCACATACTGAGAGCCTTAGCGAGAAGCCTCTCTATTTGTCCTTGTCTTTTGTCATTGCTCGTCGTGCATGCATCTGCCTGCTTGGAGATGCAACTGGAGTAAGCTGCAGGAAGCGGTTGCCACTGAGGATCTCGTTTTGCATGCAACCAACGACCCGTGTAAACTTCAAACGGCCCCACACGCACGGAGACACGCTAGTTCTCTCGTTTGGTCGTGTTTCTTTCATCTTACTTTCATTCTTTATCTTTTTTTCACTTTCTGTTGACTGTCACTGGTCTCCTTCTGTTTTGTTTTGGATTTATTGTTTTTTCTGTCTCTGTCCCTCTATCTTGTTCTGTTTGTCTGTCCCTTTATTTCGTTCTCTGTCTGTCTGTCTGTCTGTCTGTCTGTCTGTCTGTCTGTCTGTCTCTCTCTCTCTGTCTGTCTCTCTATCTGTCTATCTCTCTATCTAGCTATCTCTATTTTCTCTCCATCTCTATCTCTCCCTCCCTATTGCTCTCTCTCATTCACTTGCTCTCAATCAATCTACCTTTTTATCACTCTCCTTTTCCTTCTCTCCCCCACTTTCCTCCTTCCATCCCCGTACATATTTTTACGTTCGTCTTTAATTGAGCTTTTGTTTTTCCTTTTGAATTTATCGCTTTCTTTTTTGTTTGTTTGTTTGTTTTTGTTTTCTGCTGCTTGAAGATGATGTCAAGTTGATATTCATTTCTGTCCCTTTTTCATTATGATTATTCACACTTTTTTGTTCTTATTGTTCTTATCAATTTAATTATTTTTGGTATTATTACTGTTACTACGGTTGCTATTACTACCACTGTAATTATATTTGTAATTACAGAGTTGTAATCATTATTAGCTGTATCAGTAACTTCATTAATGACCTATGTTAAACAGTGTAATATAAGAAAACCAAACAAATATAGCAAAATAAATAAACAAATAAACAAACCAACAAAAAAATTAACTTCAACCCAAAAAAAAAAAAAAAAGAAAAAGAAAGAAAAAAAAAAAAAACGCAAATGACAGAAACCCTAATAAAATAACAAAGAGAAACGCATTGAAGAAGAACGTTCCCTCTTATCTTGAGGTCGGAGCCTATAAATCACGTGTCAGACAGTGACTTATCCGATCAATGTCTCCCACGTGGATTTCAGTCGCGCCGCCGCTTCGTAAGTCACTGGGTAGTTTGAGCTTCCGCCACAAGATGGAGGTGCTGATCTTTTTTTCTTTTTGTTCTGTATGTTTATATAGATGGATAGGTAGGGAGGTAGGTAGGTAGGGAGGGAGGGAGGGAGGTAGGAAGGGAGGTAGGGAGGTAAGGAGGGAGGGAGGGAGGGAGGGAGGGAGGGAGGGAGGTAGGGAGGGAGGGAGGGAGGGAGGGAGGTCGAGAAAGATAGATTGATAGATAGATAGAGTGAGTGAGAGATAGATAGATAGGCAGAGTGAGTGGGAGATAGATAGACACATATAGACACATATGTATATAGAAAGATGGACAGACAGATAGCTAGATAGATAGATAGATAGACAGATAGATAGATAGAGAGAGAGAGACAAAAAGGAGAGATGATATGAATAACTTTGCATAGAAAGGAGGACAATAAATAAATGAAAAAAGTCAGTAAACGGCGTGAAATATAAGGACAAAAAAATATTAAAACGAAAAAGGGAAAGACGGAAAAAAATGCGGAGAAATTAAAAACAATAATAAAAAAGAATGCAAAAGAGGAGGAAAACCAACGAAGACGGATTAAAAGAGAGAGCGAGAGAAAACAGAATAGAACAAAACCCCCCCTAAAAAAAAAAAAAAAAAATAGAAAACGAAGTAAAGAAAACGCGACAGGGATTCCATTACCAATAAAACCCCACATACCTTGACAACAATGGTTGAAGGAATGATTTAAGAGAGAGATAGAAGGGAAAAATCCTTCTTATCCTCTTTTCCTTCTCTCCTTCTCCAGCTCCTCTTCGTCCTTCTCTCTCCCCTCCCCCCCCCCCTTTTCACCCTTTCCCCTCCCTCACCCTTCACCCTAACTGCCAGGCGACCACCCACGCACGCGCATTGTGTTATGTGACAGTTACCTAAACCGCCTTCACTCTTTATTTTCCTTCAAAGATCTTTTAGTTTCTTGTTTTTTTTCATTCAATTTCTATTCGTTTATTATTTTTTTCCTTCCCGAGCGTAGAGGAAAGTGTGGCTTAGAATATAACATCGTAATATTAGTATATATATTTTGAAGGGAACTGTATAACGTGTTTAAATATTTATATCGTATAAGAGTCTTTCAACTTTTTTTTGCTTGTAATATTTCAGGTAACCAGGTTGATTTTCACCCATTTGTCAGTTTCAAAAGAATATAAATCATGTGTAATCATGTTCTTAATCATAATGGCTTGTTTTGTGACGTTATATATAAGATGTATGAACCCATATTTGTGTGTGCGTGTATGTGCGTGTGTATATTTTAATCAAGTTGAAGTTTGTGTGTGTGTGCGTACTTATATGATATGTGTTTATATGTATATATATAAATATACATATATATATATATATATATATATATATATATATATATATATATATATATATACATATATATATATATATATATATATATATATATATATATATATATATATATATATATACAAACACACACACACACACACACACACACACACACACACACACACACACACATATATATATATATATATATATATATATATATATATATATATATATATATACATATATATATATATATATATATATATATATATATATATATATATATATATGTATATATATATATATATATATATATATATATATATATATATATATATATATGTATGTATGTATGTATATATATGTATGTATATATGTATATACATACATATATACATATATGTATATTTATATATATACATATATAG